TTGTATTTATATTACGTTTATATCTTATTTATAGTCTTACTATATTTATATACACCTTTTACCTAGTCTATCTATTTTCCACATTTTTCTTTTATATATTCTCTTTTCCTTATTCTTTCATTCAAAATTATTCGTACCTATAAAACTTAATTCTCTTGAGTTTATCACTTTTCCTTCTTAATAATGGAAGTTAGAGACGGAGGCACGCAAACCTGTAATGATATACCTGATAATGGAACGACCTCTCCCACTCCTTTATTGAAACGACCCAGGACTGTTGCTTATTCCCAAAATCGTAAGCTAGCTGATGAGCAACTTGAGTCTGTCTTAAAATCCGTTGCAGCCCTTAAGGCTGACAACGCCCGGCTACGTGCCGAGAATTCCTTCCTTGCCACCAAGCTGGCGCTGTTCACGAGTAACTTACCAAAGTCTTCCTCTTCAACCTCCGCCGCAAATACTGTCCCCCCCTCCACTTCTACTGCGGCGGCCTGTAGCATTATTAGTACCCCGAAGCCAGCGCCAAAGCCCAAACCCAAGCCCTCTTTAGCTACTAAGGTCCTTGTGGGTCCCAGTCCTCCCACTCCCTCTACCGTTCCGTTGGCTTCGGCCACTAAGTCTTCCAAGCCACCAGCCATTACGGCCCGTGGCGTCAATGTCAAGGAGCTTGGCTCCTCCATCAAATCAGCCTTTCCTAATGCCTCTTATGAGTTTAAGTGCATAAATGGCACGACCACTCGTATCCTAACTAAGAGTAAGGATACCTTTTATAACATCAACTCCCTGCTCCGCGAGCAGAAAGTTGAGAGTTTTGCCTCCATTCCTTTAGAGGACCGAGTCACTCCTGTCCTCCTTAAGAACTTCCCCTCATCCTATGATGAGGATGACTTGAAGTCGGCCTTGGCGACTGACTTACCTGAGTTCACCTTCTCGAAGGTCTCCAAGTTCACTCCACCTGCGCGCTTCACAAAGCGTAACTCCTCTAGGTATGCCAATTCTTGTATTTGGGAGCTCCATCCTATCCCTTCTACAGACATAAAGTCCCTTCTCAATGTTAAGAGACTTCCATCGCTTAACATCATCATTTCACTCGAGCAGAAATCTCGTAATGAGATCCCTCAATGCTCAAATTGTCAACGCTATTTTCACACAGCTAAGCTGTGTAATTACCCCCACCGTTGTGTACGCTGTGGTGAGTCTCATCTACGTGGCGAGTGTCAACTTCCTCCTCCAGCTTTTGATCCAGTTACTCAGGAGCAACTTGCAGCCACTATCCCCAAGTGCTGCAACTGCGGTCAGACTGGTCATCCGGCCAATTACCGCTGCTCCAAATATAAGGAGCTGCGTTCTCTTCGCGCCAATAAATCTCGTGCGCAAAAAATCCCCCCCCTCATGTCTATTGACTTGAGGACTCCATCAAATTTCGTGAGACCTGGTGTCTCATTTGCCTCTGCGGCTAAAGCCGCAACCCCTAAACCCATTTCGCTGCCTAAGACAGCTAATCCTTCTCCTATTCGTGCTCCTGAGTCAGACTCCTTTCTCCCTGATATTCAGGGTATCTTCGCCTTTGCTGCAGGCATTAAACAGCAGTACAGCCTTCTGCCCCATTCTGACAAGAAAGCCTTTCTTGTCCAGAAAGTCCTCGAATTGGCACTGAGATGAATGATCTAAGGATCATTCTCATAAATGTCAATTCGATACACTCCAATCTTAGGCGTGCTCTTTTCGCGGATTTTGCTGAACGCAACAACCCTCATATCATCCTTGTGACTGAAACACGGCTCAATATCAGGGACGTTGTTGATGTCAGAGGATATAATTTTATCCGATTCGATAGGGACGGCGTCGGTGGGGGAGTCGCCATCTTGGTAAAAGACTCTCTCAAGTGTTCTAGGATTCACATCCCCTCACTTGTTTCTCTTGAGGCGGTTGGTATTACTCTTTCTCTCTCCAATCGCCCTGATCTCAATATCTTTTGCATCTACCACACATACTCTATTGTTTCTTCCATTGACCCACATGATCTGGGCACTCTTGCTTCCTTGTCTCCTAACCCCTTTCTTATCGGTGGTGACTTTAATAGTAAGCACCCCTTTTGGAATAATGCTGCCTCTTGTTTCAATGGCACCAGGCTATTCAACTGGCTAACTAGTAGCCCAGTCAGTCCTATTCTAAGTGTGGTAGCTCCTTCGGTTCCGACTCATGTCAATAGTATCATTGACTTTTTTTTAGCGGATAATCGCCTTCTTCCCAGCCTCGGTGACCCACGAGTCATCGACGGCATTTCTGACCACCAAGCCGTAAAGCTTGCGCTTCACGACTGCAGAGCTGCTCGTGCCTGTCCTCGCACTTTTTTTAATTTTCCCAGCACCAACTGGTCAGAGTTCAATCTCACTCTTGACCAGCTCCTTCTCAATTTGAGCATTCCCGAACACAGGAACATGACTCCGGTGGAGATTGATTTTGCTGCCCTTACTCTTGAAAGCATCTTCGCCTCCACAATTGATGAGCATGTTCCGAAGGTGCATGTTCGCAAATTTTATCAAGTTCCACTTGATACTACTACCCTTCACCTCATTAAACTGAGGAAATCGCTTCGCCGCAGATATTATCGCCTTAGACAGGTTGCATCCACGCAAGCTCATGCGTTCCAAGCTATCCTTAAGAACCTGGACACCATAATTGCCCAGAGGGTCAACCAAGCCAGGTTCAATTCCCTTAGTGCCAAACTTCGGGCCACCCAGTGCCGGCCTGACGTCTTCAGCACGATCAGGCCAATCTGCGGATCAAATAGGTCCATTTCTGATCTCCGCTATGGCAACACCATAGCATATGATGACTTCGATAAAGCCAACGTCTTTGGTGAAGTCTTTGTGACTAATCACCGTCTTACGGCTGGCCTAGGCGAGCGACACTTTATGTCCACTACAAATTCTGTAGTGCATGGGCTTTTTGATGCTTTCAATGAAAGCATTGTTACTTTCTCCCCGCAGTTTCCCGCTCACTGCATCAATGTTGAAGACACTCAAGGGTTTCTCACCCCAATTGATCTTACTAACATACTTCGGCTTAAAGCCCCTAAAAAGTCATCTGGCACTGATTGCGTGTCTTTTTACGCTATGAGGCGTTTCTCACCACTCTTTTTCAAAAAGTGCGCCATGCTCTTCAACCATGCGTACAACACTGGTTCCTTCCCCCAGCCATGGAGGAAGGCCATAGTTTGTCCCATTGCCAAGAGTGGCAAACCTAAATGTGACCCCTTCAGCTATCGTCCCATTTCTCTCCTCAACTCCGTCAGTAAGCTCTATGAGACTTTCATAGCAAGCAAGCTGAAGTCCTTCTCCTCAAGGAATAATATTATTCCTTCTTATCAGTTTGGCTTCAGAAGCCAAACCTCCACTCTTCATGCCCTGCATCATCTCCAAAATGAGATATGCATAGGCTTTTTCAATAAGCAGCCCACTGTGGCATTAAGTCTTGACATTGAAAAAGCCTTTGATACTGTCTGGTTTGAAGGTTTAATTTTAAAGCTTCACCAGTTCGGCTTCTCCCCTGCGCTCTGTAGTGTGGTCCACAATTTTCTGTCCAGCAGAACCTTTCAGGTTTGAGTCGGTTCCTCTCTGTCTCGAGATTTCCCCATCGACGCCGGTGTCCCTCAGGGCTCGGTTCTTGGACCCCTTCTTTTTAACCTGTTTATAGCTGACATTCCTTTTCCGCGGGCCCCTGTTAAGCAAATCTGCTTCGCCGATGACTGCCTTGTCTTCATGCGGTCATCTAATCCTCACCGCCTTTCCAATGAGCTTAATACCCACCTTGGAGCCCTCTTCGACTATTACACCAAGTGGAAGATGAAACTCAATCCCTCTAAGATCTCTGCCATTGCCTTTCTTGGCCAGCAGCGTGATCGTCCTAGAGGTTTTAGCACCTCTAATATTCAGCTCAGGCTCAACAACTCTCCAATTCAGCTTGTCCCCAAGCTAAAATATCTTGGTATTGTCTTCTCATCTCAACACAATTTTATATCACATGTTGACTATGCCATCCGTAACGCCCGGTTCAGGCACACTCAACTCAAAACTGCACTTCGAAGACACAACCAGCTTAACTGTAAAGTTAAGCTACTCTGCTATAAGCAGCTTATTCGTCCTCTCCTCACTTATGCCTTTCCTATTTGGTCTGCCATCACCTCTGCTCAAATGGAAAAAATCCGTCTGTTTGAGCGGAAACTTCTCCGTGATTGCACCAACTATAAACGCAAGCCCAACGGCAAGCACTTTCCTATCTCCACTCTGTACCACAATGCCAAGATTACTCGTATTGATGAGTACCTTTTGACACTTGCCCGTAGGTATCTCACCCGGCTCCACGACCTCCCTCCTGATGTCTCTTGTCCAGATACCCTCCCAGTAGACCTTGTTCTAGCTTTACGTTTTAAGCCTCCACAGTACCTTCTCCACTATTTTGATGAGCTGGGCCAAAATCCTCTCGCTATTCCTCTCTTTAACCGCGGCTTTCGTGACCCTGGTCACAAAGTTTATCACTAGCCACACCCCCGCTAACTAGCCGTAACCCCACTACCTTCATTATCATCCTTTCTTCTTAATTCATGCCCTTGCTTTCTGACTTAGATGAACCTAGTTCACCTAAGTATTAAGTCTATCTACTTTCTCTCTCCCCTGATTACTGGAATGAAGTTCCCACATTGCTGTGGGAATCTTCTCCATTCATTCCTAAGAGGTGGTTTTAGTGGGTTCAAGTCTCACACTGCGGCTTTCGAT